GATATCCATTCTACCGTCATGTCATGATTGGTGATGCCCTTTACTATGTGGAACTCCTTTCTGTTGCACACGCGTCACCTCCACGAGGTATCGGTGTCACAAATGGAACGGCCCACAGCCAGGGTCAACCGTCATGTTGGACCGATTTCAAAATTTTTACGACCCCCCTCTGGGAGAGTCTCCATACGACCCCCCCCCGTACTCATTATGTACTGCACACTGCTCAGAAAAGAGCTAGCACTAGGTAAAATAAGTGCTAGCTTTTTTCTGAGCAGTGTACAGTAAATACAAAAATCTGAAGACACTTGGCTTGAATTCAAACACAATTAGCAGACGAGCTCGGTGCTAACTTAGTTGGGGGGGGGACACGCGGCGGCGCGGCAGTCTGCTCGCCTGGCATGTTCGGAAATCCGTGGGCCAGGGGGAGTGTAGGCAGTCTAGGGGGGGGGGGGGGGCATCCGTCGTAACTCAGATAGCATAGATCGCCGCGCCAGCCGCCGCAGCAAGCGATGTCGCGGCGAATTTGCAAAGAACTTAGCATCCAAACATTGGGGAATGTAAGATCAGGTGATGTTTCCCTTCATGGAACATGTAATAGAAACCTTCCTCTTTAAAATGCAGTTTCGTGTTCGCTCGTCATTATTACATACTCATATCATGCTTATGTTAGAGCCTTCCTCACCGTTCCTCTGTGTCTTGATACGCAATATTCTTTCCCGATTGGACCAGATTATCACTCTCTGGTAGAATTTCAGGTAGCTGATTACTAAAGAAGTCAAATGAAATTCAAAATGACAACATGGTTTACATGGTGCAACCTTTGTATTGTGAGGTTTAAATCACTGCAGACATAGTACAGTGACACTTGCTGCCTTACTGATGTCCAGCACTCTGGTCTTATCAGTCACCTAGCCAACTTATGGACATGGATTGCTAAAAACAGATCCACACAAAGATCGCCGCATGACCTCATAAGCCGACGATTGAATTGACCGTCTCCCGGGGGCAGTCACTTGACATGTGTGAAAAGCTGGAATGTTCGAGTTTACATTGTCTCGCCCGAGAGAGCCCAGGTGAGCAGACTGCCGTGCCGCCGCGTGCCCCCCCCCAACTAAGTTAGCACCCACGAGCTCCAGTTCCCTGATATCCGGTAATTTACTATTGCACAACATCGCAGAACGAACTGCCTTCATTAGTGCTAAACAGTACTGCCCTTTAGTTCGAATGGCGCTTTGCCTGCCTTTCATGAATGGACGGTCAGGATCACAAAAAAATTCCATCTCGATATGCGGGCGCATATCAAAACGAGTGGTTGCGCATTCAGTAAGCATCAGTATCAGCAGAATCCGATTGGAGACGGAGCGTGCGTTGCTTTGCGCTGCAATCTTCCCTTACGCGGGAAAAAGCGACAAAACAGACTAAATTGACTTAAAAACATAATTCATTAAGTTATTATCAAGTTATTCAAACGCTAGTTATTACGGATTTGTCATCTACAAAACTGGTTGCTTTTTTCGGTAGGTACCACGATTATGCTTTGTCTTCAAAACCACGTCAGTTATGGGGTAGAGAACAAAGAATTCACAGAAATGCGCACTTCGTCGTTTGAAAGGTTGTAACTTTCTTTAAAGGAGGAATTATGAGGAGCGGTAAGAAAAATTGGAGAGCTCAGACTGTTTTCTTTCCGAGAAATGCTCAGTCGCAGAATATCTTTCTTGAATAAAATCGCCCCCTGATTGTATTTTCTTGGCCGAACGTAGTTTTTTGGCTTTTTAAGTGGCTATATTTCTTACCATTCCACTTTCTATATCTTGTCCCTGTTTGAAAGAAGTTAAATGGGGCCTAACAATAATCTTGACTCTTCAAAATTTAAATTATTAAAGAAACAGCTCGTAGATCGTTTTAGAAGTCGGCAGGATTTTCTAAGGCTGGTATTTTATGGGCTTAAATGCTCGACTTTCTTCATATTGACTTGTGCACTTTTGTACCTGATTGAGTTAGCATTTAGAGCTTCCCAATGAATAGTTTTTCTCTTGCCAAAGTTGAAAGAGTCAAAAAATCGCCTCGTTGGACCGTTGGGCCGTTTTTTTTTCATTAATTTTCGGCGCTACCCTCCTGAAAACACAGGTTTTCAACACTTAAAGGAGGATTGCACGGAAAGAATGAAGGTCGAAGAAGGGAGAAATCGCCTAGTGGGGAGAGCGGTGAATCTCTTGAGGGGCGAAGAACACAACATCGAAAGATTTGACCTCTGAGATCTAGCATGGCTCAAAGTTGGCGAGTTCGGCGATCTCCGCCCACCGATCGTCTGATCACTCGCCGTAGTACAATAGGTGGCGAGTGATTAGATAGCTGAGAGAGCGTAGGGTTGAAGAGGGCAAAGCGATGAGAGTCCCATCAATGCTCAAATCAACGGACAAGGAAGGGGTCCCATTTCTCCGGTTCTGGGCCGTTTTTCGTGGTTTCGCTTTCTTTCTGGTACTACTCACCATCTCTACCTCAATTTGGAATGGGTTGCTTTTCCATCGTAAATTCGTCCTTTAAATGTGTTATTTTCTATTGTTCGTGTCTTTTAACACTGACAATCGTACTAATCAAATCAATGTTACTAATAATAAGCTGTGACTCGCACGAGCTCTGTGATTCATTAATATATGCTCAACCATTGCAAGAAAATGCCGACAGGCAAATATTTTTGTTCCAAACTTTTCTTGTAGCCCTTTAGCAGTCAATCTACTAAAGAGATCACTCTTTTTTATGAACTCAGGTCCAGTTTGAAAGCATTGGTTCACCTCCAGAATTATATTTGTGTACGTGCGCAATCAAATATGGATACTTTCGCAGTAAACTGCTCTGATGTGCGCCATGCACTCGTTTGTGCTTAATAGTTTAAGAAGCACTATGAAGTTTTACCCTCTCCCCTACGGTCGCGAGACTAAGTCTTGATTCTAATGTTCGAATGATTCCCAGCAAGAACAACAGCTTGACGAAGCTTCATCAGACAAATAGGACATAGGTTTCCATTAGACACCTTTTCTCAACTCAATGGCCTCATCACGTAACACTTGTATTAGATGCTCTAAGTTAAAGACAGCTGTACGGAGAAACGACTTGCGGTGTGTCGCCGTGCGCCAATCACCTTTTACAGTTGTCACCGCGCTCCATCACTACTAACAATGTGCCAAGTCCATCCCACAACATAGAAGCAGTGTATATAACGGTCGAGAAATAAGCTCTCGACATAGCTCTCTAAACTGAGCAGGTATGCCGCGAAGTGGATAGATGGACCGCGTGATGGCAGCCGGCACAGCATGGCGAGGGTGTGAATGTCCTCGGCGAGGTGTAGATCGATCCTGATGTTGCAGAGAATTCGACGGTGAGGCCTAGGGAGCCTCAGGTGCGATATTTCACGGCTGCTAGTTGAGATATGGGAGGTGTGCTCTGGGTGCGACTGGAGCTGGGTGACGGAAACGATCGACATTTGCTTTGATCGCGGCGCTAATGAACGCGTTTATCAGATTGTCAAGGGGGCTTTTCCAATCACTGTGTACTCTAACATTACGTGCCGGTCCCATTCCCAAGTACACTATGTAATATGGGACTTTGGTGTCAGGGGCGAGCCAAGTGAACGGAATCGACGAATCTAAAGGGTTCGAAGACAATCTTATCAGCCCTTAGAGTTGCTATCGGCTTTAGGTATGTAATAAATTTGCGCCTGGGAGCACACACATTAAGAATTTATGTTTAGTGATTAGTGATTGCTCAGTACATGGAAGATGAACTAGCAAAAAGATGTGCAATGCCGCTTCTACGCCCGTCTTATCAAGCATTATGTAGACAAGTTATCATTCCTATCATTACGTGACTTTGTGTTCATCCAAGCGGGGGGGCCCTTAGTAACATATTGTAGAGAATCATTGGCTTTATCGGTTGCCGGGGGGTGACTCTCGGAGCTAGTGTACGACATTCGTGCAAATACATGGGCAACACACAACAAAACAGGAATACACAGGGGCACAGGGACAGCACAGGAGAATGGCCTAGCGAATTATATAGTTATGATGATGCAGAAAAACCACGCTTCGTACTCTATCCAGCCGGCAAAACGTCTTCGATGAGCAACGTTTGACTCCTGCGACACGACCTCCCTGCTTCTCGCGTAGGACAAAATACGACCCCCGCGTGACTCGTTGAAATTGTTCCACGATGTAGTTTGACTGCCACGCTTCAGTCGGTATGAAGCCTGCCGGAGGGGAAGAAGGTCCCTCGATTTGACGGGAGACCAATCTGGTGGGTCAAAACGTAGAAGCAAATCCAAATGTTGACGGTAGATAATCTTTCATCTACTGCTGCTTGGAAACACTTGTAATAATTGCTCAGCTAGCAAATTAATGTTATCACCAGCTTCAGATAACGCATTAGAAACACTTTTTACAATGCTACTCTCACTTCCGGTCGCCTAGATCGGCTCGGTCAGTTCAATTTACTGAATTGTTCTGCCCGTCATGAGATGGCGGGTCTTGTGCGAAACAGCTGCTGGTTTATCCGAACTATGAAACATGGCCAGCTAATGATCGCAGGCGTAGGATCATTGCTAAGCGGGTTGGAAAGACGTCTTGATTGCGGTAGCACACGGGTGTCCAGAGGCAGCTTCATTGGATCCACAGATAGAAAGTATTACCTGATCATGCTGCAACGGCAGTGGAGCCATACTGATCATACCCAAGACTAACGTGAAGCCGAAAATATGCGATCGTCAGTGAAAGCCACCCAGAAATTGCTTCAGAGGATATCATGCAGGGCACTACTAATTCGACCAACAGGCAGCGTCCATCAGAGCCTCGCAGCAGCCCAAACGGTAGCGGTCACTTGAGCCCAGCATGGAATTGTCTCAAGGCTCTCATTGAAGCCCACTGAACACCTACAGCAGGGCACTGATCGGAAGATAACTACAGCGATTGAAGCCGCACACAGGAACTACCGCAGAGCACGGTGCAGGAATGCAGCACAGAAGTCATTCACAAAGGACCATCTCCAGCAGTCACCACTGCGTCACTGGAGTCACCGCAGGAACTGTCTCAGAAGCTACCACCGCAGCTACCCCTAAAGCCATCACAGGAGCCACACTTGGAACCTCTGCAACAGCCGAAACCGCGGTCACCACTGAAGCCACAACAAGAATCGCTTCAGAAGGTGCCCCCGTGCAAACTTCAAAACCTGCTACAATGGCGGGAGTCGCTTCTCAAACTGCCCCCGCAGCAACCACTGCAGCCGCTGAAGGAGCTGCCGCACAAACACCAGGCATCTTTTGATCATCATCCGCTTCTCTTTTTTTGAAAACCTGCATCGCTTCACTTTTACAGGTAGCAGAAATGAGACTGTAAGCGTACCACGAGATATCACGGCCCAGCATAGAAGCTACAACCACAAAAATTACAAGTTGGTAACTGCTATTGCCTCGGTTTTCCATGCTCATCCCCTCGATAGTGCGCATTATTGGAAAAATGGGTTTAGATTTTACGCACGCGCGCTCATTAAAGGAAGTGGTCACGATAATTCTCATGGGAACGATAAGGGAAAGCTATGTATTGGAGTGGATAGAGGTCCTGCCCAATGTTAGAACACGTGAAGTTTCAGTGGCAGTGGCGCCTTATCAACGGAGTGATAAGGCGCCGAAATCCACTTCCGTTCAGCAAAAACCAAGACTTATCGATGTGGAAAGGGGTGCGATAAGAGCGTGCTAGATATGATACCGTTATCGTTATCGTCCCGTTTTCATTCTGGAGTGCACCTCTTATCAAGCAGCCGCACCTTCTTATCTCATCGTATCATATCTTCCATGGGCTTACACTCGTCCAACAATTACTGCCTCACACCTTATCGATTGATAACGCGAGGGTAGCAAATCCAGCGTGGAAGCCAGCGTGACCGCTTCCTTTAATGGTGGGGAGAATCGAATCAATCCTAAATAATTGGCCATGATGATGAGGGTTTCTGGGAGGGGTTCGTGATTTCCTTCACGTGTAATTGTATGGGAGCAGCGCTGAAACACCTCTAAGAAAGGAGCCGTTGAATTTCTGAAAAATGCCCCCACGTTATGGTCGATTCTGGTAGGAACGAAAATACGTAGGCAATGTCTACAGTCGATATCTCGAAGTCTGGTTGGGCGTGTCACCGGAAATGACGTGGCAGCCACCGCACTTGATAGAAGTTGCGCGGATAAGCTGCTTCCAACACGCTTTGCTGATATCTGGCGGAGTATTTATCCACACAACATCTATCAAGTGCGGTGGCTGCCACGTCATTTCCGGTGACACGCCCAATCAGAGTTCGAGATATCAACTGTACCTAAGCAGGAAAGGATGATGAGTCGAAGTGACTACCTATATGCAATGAGAGCTAGGGTTTGTTGTCCAAATGGGAGGCATGCGTAACTGCTCGTGCTCCAGTTTCAAAGGAAAACAAGAGTACAATTTATGTCTGGTTGGACGTGTCACCGGAAATGACCTGGCAGCCACCGTGGCTACTGCGTCATTTCCGGTGACACGCCCAATCAGACTTTGAGATGTGGGCTGTAAAAACACATCAGGTTGGTCCAGAACTTTGCCTTCAAACTTCCCATGAGGCAGCAAAGCGGAACAACTCAAG